TCATACTTTTAGATCTAGAAGAATGGTCCTATCTCAGCAGACAATCATAAAACGGTTGCAAAACTGTTGAGTCTGCTGAACGCAGCCATTGTCTGCTGAGATAGGACCATTCTTCTAGATCTAAAAGTATGATCCAATTAGCGCGAAGAAAACTTCCAACAGTTGCAAAACAAACGTTCTGCTGAACGCAGCCATTGACTGTAGGGGACGCAGAGAATTATCCAAATCAGGATAATTTCTTAAACTTTGATTAATTGTGACGGAATTTAAAAAAACAATTATAATTCTTATATAATTCATCATAATTTAATAATTTTTTCATATTTCTACCAACACAAAATTAATTCTATCCACCTGTACAAAAAAGTTTATAATTTTGTACGTTTTGTCGATCTATAAAAAAATGAATAAATTATAATTAATCGCCAATCAATTTGATTGGAGTAAAAACTAAAAAGCGATTAACTCGATTGAAATGCTTACATTAAAAGTTTTAATTATATAAATTGTTTCTAATTATTAAAGTCTTTCTTTGCATGATCAAAAAAAAAAAAACAAGAGAAAATAATTTTATTAACATTAACAAAATAGCACAGGTATTATTTGATAAAAATCAGTAATTAAATTAATCGAAATTTGATTAACTGAACTTTTTGTGTCCCATTTTGTTGAGCTTTCTTTTTCTAGCAACATATAAAATATTATTATAGCTTTACAAGTATGCATATTTATTTATGGAGCATTTATATAATAAAAAATCATGAATTTAATAATGTATTAGTTAAATATTGATGTTAATAATAGCAAATTTATATTAATTGTCGATAATATCAACGTTCTTCAATCACCTCATGGCCTTTGGGGCCTTTTTTCTAAAGCTGAAAATTTTCCCAGGATTTTTGAAGTATTTCTTTAATTCTTTCTTCTTGTTGGTGCGCCAAATCCGGCCATAGGATCTACATTTGTTGCATTTCTGTTAAAATAAAATATATCGTATATATATCGTACAGCACAGTTGCACAAAAATTACTATACACTGCTGCAACATTGCATATTGCAGCAATATTGCAGCGATATTGCTGCAAATTCCGTGCTGTATGAGTATGTTAGTGCGCTAACATCGTTGTACATACATAAGCGCATTTCTAAACGAGCCATAATGTTAGGTTAGAAATGTGTGCAAGACCATCATTATATTCTAATATAAAATAATTTAGCATATGTAATTACAATACTTACAGATGCCATTTTTCGCCTTTTCAATTCTCTTTTTAATTAACCAATAAACACATACTACTATTACTATATACTTTTCAGTATAAGTACTCCTAATCGGTAGTGATCACTAGTGATCGACAACGTATAACAAATTTTCGTTTTTGAAAAATATGCTCCATGTGACCCATGTCACATCGGCTGCGGTCCACTTGACGCTACAAACGCTTCGAAGCATTCTTTGATTAGTTAATTCGTAAAATTCTTTGTTTTGATTGGTCGATCAAACGCTTCGAAGCGTTTGTAGCATCGAGTGGATCGCAGCCATCATCATATATATAATATCGTTTTCGATTGGGGTGTACTGGCTGCACTCAGTGTCAAGAGCATGTTCGATTGACAGTGCCAATGCACACTTGGCTACTGTCATGTGTTCATTTGATCGCACGACACCGCGTAGTGCATACTCTGCACACTAAGTGGCATGAGATATTAGGCCTGTTCTTTTTGACTGAACTTTTGCACCAGTTCATCTTTCTTCCTCTTTTTTCCTCCTGGCTCCATGGGACTTCCCCATAACATTTAGGGCCAGTTTCACCAACGTCAGTTAATTTAATCGGCCATTAACTGACCAATCGCGTTTGCTGTTTAAAAGAATTGACCAATTACGGTTGACAGTTAAGGTCACGATTAAGCTTAATCGGCGTTAGTGAAACGAGCCCTTAGCACCTCTTTCACCAACTTCTGATTAAATTAATCGACGATCAACTCACAGTAGTGCCAATAGCAGTTTAATATATCAGAACGTCTCCTCTCTCTTCCTCTTCTGTTTAGTTCTCACGTTGGCAATCGTGGAGATCGAGTTAACAATCGATTAGTTATCGGGGTTGGTGAAAGAGGCCCTAAAGCTATAAACACAATGGGCATAGGCAATAGGCACAGGCAACAAGGAATAACGAGCCTTCCAATCAAAGCTCTGAGATATAATATCGAATTTATACCCCAGACCTTTGATTGAACGGCTCGTTATTCCTTGTTGCCTGTGCCTGTTGCCTATGCCATTAGATGCATTCAGTAGGTGCATCCAGAAGCACGACCGCTCATTGAGCTCTTGTATGTATGTATATACCTGTTGGTCTATATTTTTAGCTTTAATGGAATATGCCAATTAGATGCAAGAGCTTACTGAGCGCTCTGCGCTTCTGGATGCACCCAGTACTACGACCGCTCATTGAGCGCTCAGTGAGCTCTTGAATCTGTTTGGTCTATATTTTTAGTTCTAACGGAATATGCCAATCATATGCAAGAGCTTACTGAGCGCTCAGTGAGCGGTTGTAGTACTGAATGCACCCATTGGGCGCGTTCAGCAGAGACTCAACAGTTGAGCTAGTGATTAATTTGTTTGACAACAATTTTAAAATTAGAAGTGCATAATGAATCTTTGATATATGTTATTAGTGCAAATACAACAAATGATCTGTTTTCTGACGTG